GGGGGCGGGGGGCGGGGGGCGGGGCAAACTCGCCACCCCTAGGGAAAATGGAACAACGGGGAACCGGGTAACACAAAAAAAATAAAAAAAAATGGCACCGTCTCAGGGACAAATTGCAACAATCTCTAGGGAGAAAGGAAAAGAAAGAAAAAAGGACGAGAATAATACAGGGGGCTACAACCGTAAATCTCCCTCAAGGTCATCCTCAGAATTGAATAGAAGTTCAAATCTGCGCATCTGTGCCTCTCGCCTTTTCTCTTGCCATTTTAGGTATGCCAAGAACCCTAATACCCCAATGATAATCCCTATAGCAACCATCAAGCCTATGACCAATATAGTAACTATCACGGAAGAATAACGACCAGCCCGTCGGCTGCTCTTATTGCCCCCCCGACTTCCTTCTTCTGAGGTCGATTTCTCGTTGTTGTAGCCGTAGGGGCCACCATCCACCGCGTCATCGCTTGCACTCACATCCGTTCGATCATCCTCATGCGTTCCATTACCATTATGCGGTGATACCGACGACGATGATGATGATGATGATGATGATGATGATGATGATGATGATGAAAACCGTTCCTTCGCTGGTGTTGTTGCATTGCATTCCATGCACACGAAAGTCGCATTGAACTGTCCGGCTCTGAACTGGACATTGAGGCCGCCCTCTGGTGGAGGCAGAAAATGGAGAGGGCAAAGCTCCCATTCGTCGAAGATATCCGACTTGAACAAATCTGCTTCGTAAAATCCACAACGCTTGCACTCGTCCCCCTTCAGCACCGTAACAGGCTGAAAGGACTCGTGACCGTCCCACGTGTACAGCTGATTCGCATGATGAACATCCGGAAGAGAGTGTTTCTTCTCTCCTTGACATTGGAAATAGACAGATGGGGTCGCGAACAGCTCATGCGTGGTGAAAATGGTGAGAGATCTCAGAACCACATTTCCACCACGACCAGCTGCCGTACAAAGTGGAAGAAGCACAAGCAACCATGGCGCAAAGGCCTGTGCCAAAAAGACCACATCCATCGCCATCACCGTAAACACGGTCTCCGTCCTCCCCCTCCTCCTCCTCCTCCTGCTCCCACGAAACGACGACGACGACGGCGGCGATGGCGACGATGACGATGACGACAACAACTCGCCTGATGGCAACTGCCTTCTTACTCCCCGCGCATTGAGAATCTCGTCCCCTCCTGTTCTCAAGCATCCACTCTCCCGTCTACCACCCATCGATGTCTTCTGAGCAAGGATAGATGTCCCAATCCGTTCCCTGACTTGTCCTCCAGTGCTCCCTCCACCGTTCCCTGATAGCAACTGCCGTATTACTCGCGCATGGAGAGTCTCGTCTCTCCTTGTTCTCAAGCACCCGCTCGCACTTCTACCGCCCATCGAGGTCTTTTCTGCGCAAGGATTGATGTCCCGATCCGTCCCTCTGACTTGTCCTCGAGTGCTCTCCCTCCGACCTTACCAGCGCACAGCACCGCTCCCTCTACCCTCCTTAATTGACCAGATTCAGCCTATGGATGATATATACGAAGACAGAGGCGCGAGATTCTCATGGAAAGCCCCAAGGTTTCGACAGACGGAAGATGCCCCGGATTACTCGCCGCTGGCTGCTGTTGCTGACACGTCTTCCGACACCTCTGCCGCCGCTGCTGACACGTCTCCTGACACCTCTGCTGCCGCTGCTGACACGTCTCCTGACGCGTCGGTTGCTACGCTGCTGCTGCTGCTGCTGACACGTCTTCCGACACCTCTGCTGCCGCTGCTGACAACTCTCCTGACACTTCCGCTGCTGCTGCTGACCCGTCTCCTGACACTTCCGCTGCTGCTGCTGACCCGTCTCCTGACACGTCTGCTGCTACGCTGCTGCTGCTGCAGCTGCTGTTGACACGTTTTCCGACACCTCCGTTGCGGCTGCTGACAACTGCCCTGACACTTCTGCTGCAACTGCGGCTGCTGCTGACACGTCTTCCGACACCTCTGCTGCAGCTGCTGACACGTCTTCCGACACTTGTGCTGCCGCTGCTGGCACGTCTACTGCCATTTCCGCCGCTACGGTGCTGCTGCTGACAAGTCGCCTGATAGCTGCCGTGCCTGCTGGTCCGCTGACGGCAGAAGACGACTGCCGTACGCGTTTCTTTCGCAGAACGATCATTGGAGCTTCGCCCACACCTGTCGTACGCAGTTCCAAAGAGTCGCGTCCAAGATCAATCATCCACCGTGGATTGAGAGAGGCATCCCACGGACAGTCGAAAACAGATCAATCATCCACCGTGGATTGAGAGAGGCATCCCACGGACAGTCGGTTTTCGTTGACGCGCCTCTTGCGCGGCTCGATCGCCCGACATCTCGCTCGCTCGCTCGTTCGCTCCCGCCAGGACGCAGATCCCGTCGCGGCGCGCGGGGCGCCGCAGACGGTGCTCCCCGACGCGTGAAGTATCTCTGATGCTTCTGCAGATTGAACACGATGAAGGCGATGTGTGTGGGCATATCACATCCCCATCCCTCTCGCATAGATCATCACTGACCATCATCAGCGAAGTTGCGCGCCGAGCACTCTCGTCGTTGTTGCCCAAAGAATGACCCCGTTAGATTGCTCATGGTGGGCTTTCGATTTACGTCGGCATTACTTTCTTTTTCCCAGAGTCTGTGGTAGGCGTACAGGGAAAATGATGCCCCGGTTTGTGATTCAAAAAAAAAAAAAAAAAAAAAAAGAAACCGTTTGCACACATGATGATGGGTCCGCGAAAACCGACCGAACGGAACGAAATCGCCGTTCTGTTCCGCTCCCTGTTCCGTTCCCTGTTCCGTTGCGTTCTGTTCCGTTCCGTTCCGTTGCGCTGCGTTCCGGAGTGGAACGAGACACCGAAATGGAACGTAACGGAACGTAACGCAACGGGACACCACCGAAACGGAACGGAACCACCGCTGTAACATAACGGGGCCTCGTCGTCACACCACTCTTTCTCTCTTCCCTTTTCCTTTTCAACTACGCTATTTTCTTCTCTCAAATTCTCTCATCCTTGAGACCATCTGTGAAATGTTTCAAGAGCTACAAAACGATTTTTGCGATTCGTTAATACGTTCTGTAACGGTAATTCTTTTTCAAATTCGAAAAATAAGAAAAGGGTTTCGCTCGGACGGTCCACCGACGTGTTTGTCTGAGGCAAAACAGGGACAGCCACGTCAAGCCGCAGACAGCTCAGCCCCCCTCCCATTTGCCGCCGTCTCCGGAAGACTGACAAAAAAAAGAAACAAACTACAGCGCGAAGTGTTCCCTGCTTGCGCTCTTCGTGATTGATTAACTCTATTTCGGGGGGGGGAAGAAAAAAGCTCTATATTGTTTGTTTGTTTTTTCAGTTTTTTGGTTATTTTTCTTTTTCTCGTCTTTTCGTCTTCTTCTTCTTCTTCTTCTTCTCTTTTTCTGTCTTTTTTTTCCTTCTTTTCTTTCCTTCTTTTACTTTTTATCTTATTTTCTTCTTTCCCTTCTTCTTTTTTTTTTTTCCTTTCATTCTCTTTTCTCTGTTTTCGTTTTCCTTTTCTCTTTATTGGAGCAGCGACAGCCTCGACATATTCAGTGAACTGACCGGCCGCATGTAATGTAATTCAGAATTGTTTTTATTCTGAACCTCTGATTGCATCTGGATTCGAACTTGGATCGGTATTTGAACAGTTTTTTTTTGCGCCAGTTCACTCCCTAATGTCTGCCACCGTGGTTTGGGAAAGGGAAAAACAAAAAAGAAAAAACAGACAGAACGAGTTTCGGGAAAGGGAAAAACAAAAAAGAAAAAACAGACAGAACGAGATTCTGCCCTGCTTGCATTTTTTTTTTCTGTCTTTTACATTTCTCTTTTTTTTCTTTTTTTCGGCCGTCGCTGCGAAGAAATCAAACAGGCAGCGCGTCATCTGCTCCGCTTTCGCCCTTCATGATTATGACTTCGGGCCTCGTTCAATGACACAACCTTCAGTATGTATCTGGACGGGAGCGCTGCCCTCCTACATTCGGACTCGGCCGACATTCTCAATATATCGGGACGACTACTAGCTCCAAATACATTTAGAATGTTCTGTACTAGAGCGAGGAGGTTTAATTCATGATTGCTATTGCTACTATCATCATCATCATCATCATCTTCATCATCATCATCATCATCGTCATCATCATCATCATCATCATCATCTTTTTCTTTCCTCATTTCCTTGTTCAATTCTTGAAATCGCAAATCATCATCATCATCATCATTATCATCAGTTTGACTATGCCTAGAAGATTGAAATTTACAATAGCTACCATCATTCCATTGCCACCATCGTAATCATCATCATCATCATCATCAAAATCGCAGAAGATCATCATCATTATCATTTTGACTATTCCTAGAAGATTGAAATTTACAATAGCTACCATCACTCCATTGCCACCAGCGTAATCATCATCATCATCATCATCATCATTGCCATCGTAATCATTATCATCATAATCATCATCTTGACGATGGATCACCATCCGAATCATCATCATCGTCATCGTAATCGGCATCATCATAATCTTCATCTTGACGATGGATTATCATCATCATCATCATCATCATCATCATCGTAATCATCATCGTAATCATCATCATCATAACCATTATTTGACGATAAAACATCATCAAAATACTCATCATCGTAATCATCGTCATTCCAACCATCGTCATCATAATCATCATCTTAACGATGGATCATCATCATCGGAATCATCATAATAATCATGGCCTTGACAATGGACAGGACATAGTGAAGAGATTGCAATTCATGATTCACGGACGGACTACTGGAAAAGAGGCAAGAACCAACAAAAATCTTTAAGAAAAAATACAATTAAAATAAACCCGAGAAACAGTATCGATGGTTTGTTTTGTTGAGACTGAAGGGGGGGAAAAGTGAGAATACGGGCCGGCGGGGGAGGGGGCGGGGAGAAACAGTGAGGATGCGTATCATGTAACTAAACGCGCAGGCTGCATCGATGAGGGAGAGAGGTTTCCGGGGGGGTGGGGAGGGGGGAGGGAGAGAGGGGAGAGGGGAGAGCGCTTAGAGAAAGAAAAAGTGAGAGCGTGGGACGACGGAAAGGACGAAGAAACACGACGGGAGAATCCGGCAATGGAGTCGTTAGAAGATGTCAGAAAGAGAAAAGATGTCAGTTAGAAACCTTGAGGGTCGATTTTCTCTATTTTAACCCCCAAAAAATGGAAAAGTTAGTCGTCAACGTCTACCAAAACAGGACAAAAAGAAAAAAACGAAAAAGAGAAAAAGAAAAGCCGAATGGACAAGAGGAGCGCAGGATACGCCCTACCGTCTTCGCCCGAAAAGAACCCCCGGTCATTATCGCTGTATCTAATCTAGACTGAAAGTTGGCCAGATACAGCTATCCTGGCCGGCGATTCTATTCGGGTGAAGAAGGTGGAGAAGTGGCAGATAACAAACAAAGAGGGGGGAAAAAAAGAGAGAGGGACAGAGGAGCGAGATAGAAAAGCTGAGAATGAGGGAGGGGGGAGAATGAAAGACACAGACACAGAGAGAGAGAGAGAGAGAGGGAGAGAGAGGCAACCAGGCAGGCAGCAAGACGGGCTTACTTTGGCGTTCCCGGAGGAGGAGACAGAGAGATAGAGAGAGCGAGGGTGAAGCGATCACCGGTCCAGGAAGTAGACACGAGCACAGGACTACGCTGAACAGTCGAAAAACGAGGAATGCGGACACGAGTAGGGAAAACGGAGTAGACAGAGACAGAGGAAAAGAGGAGAGAGACACAAAGAGAGAAGCACCGGTGATGGAGGCGGGGGGGCCAAGAGAGAGAGAGAGAGAGACACAGAGAGATAGAGAAGGTTCAGGAGGCGATTTAGAGAAGTGGGTAAGCTTGAACGGAGGAATTAGTGAGACAGCGAAGGGGGCTGAACCACCGTTCGTGAAGGGAAGAGAGAGAGAGAGAGAGAGAGGGAGAGAGAAAGAGAGAGAAGAATAGAAGGTCTGTTAAACAGAAACTGACGAGAAAAGAGGGGAGGGGAACGCAAAGCGAGGAGGAACTTGGGGGCGAAAAGAGAGGGAGAGACGGAAGAAAGAGAGAACGAGAGAGAGAGGGGAGAAAGGGACAAGAGGGGGAGAGAGCAGCTCAGCGTACTGGGAACATCACCACCACAAGGCGGGGCGAGCAAGGAAACAACGCTGACAAAAGCGAAACAGGAGCAGGTTTCGGCTAGAATAGCAAAACGATATGGGCAAAAACAAGTAAAAGTAAAACGAGTTCTTTTGTTTTTATGAACGTACCTGCTACCGAAGTAATGATTAGATATTGCGCTGGAACTTCGCCCTGACACGTGGCCAATCCCGATCTGCACGTCGCGCGCCGGGATCCGCAACGCTTACGAGCGCTAAGCCCATTTCTCCTGGCATCGCGCGCCATCCATCCCGTGTCTCTCCGCTGTCTTCCTATCCGCTCTCACGATTCCCGCCAAATTGCCGGATTTTTTTCCCCCTTGTTCCAGTAAATTGCCCGACTTTATCGCACACCTTGACGACCCTCCACGCGGTCCTCTCTCTTCGCCAGCGCTTGCTGACCTGCAGACACCTGCGGCTTGGCGCGCAGCCTTGCCTTGGGCGGACATTTGAGGCGGTGGGGTAAAGGGATCTACCTTAGACCGTGCTATGATATGGCTTCTTCGATTGCATCTGGCCCCGATGGCAATCAGAATGCGTCATCTAAGGAAAATTCCCAGTCCAGTGTGCGCTGACTCCCTCCCATCCCACTCGTCACTTTGATTTTCGCGCGCAGCACATTCCACGTGGCATTCAACCCCCCCCCTCCTCTCCTCCCCAAATCAACGTACCTCCCCTGACACCCAATCTCCTCGTAGAGCTAATTACGTGGATAGAGCGGAAGATACCCTGAACACGTGGCGTACGCAGGCGCACGCGACAGATTTACTGCTGGATTCGACGAAGCTCCGGCAAAGATCACGCAAAGATTCCGAAGGGCGCGGCAGGTTACAGCTACATCCGCTAAAAGATTTTGAGTGCATCTCGACTGGCAAGCTGGCCACTAGGCCGCACAACCGTGCGCCACACCGCGAAGGGGCGGGCCTGCCTCAAGCTGCCCTTGCACTCGTGCTTGCGCGAAACGGTGGCTGTACCCCACAAGAAACCGGGGGGGCGGGTCCGACGTGCCGGCGCGTTTTCAATTCTGGCCGCTGATCCCCACAATCTACGGCCCGAAATGAGAACTCAGAAACGTGCGTCACTAGGACTTGAGGCCCCCCTGACGAGGTCGCACTGTGCAAAATTGTTTTTTTTTTTTTTGCAGAATTACAGACAGATCGAGGCCGGGGACCTCACAATTCAACCCGGAGTATCTGACAGCATCAGCCAGCTTCGCTTACAGGCGTTAGCCTGCGGAACTCGACACTACCGAGTTCCGAAGTGCATACTAGATAGGACTGATATATTTTCAATGCATCTCCACAGCTCGTGTTCGCAGCCCGTCAGGGGTGCGTTTTATGCCCCTGAGAACATTGACTTACCGTGAGGGCACGAGTGCGCAGCCCGTGGTTTGTTTGTTGATGTTGTTGTGTGTGTGTGTGTGTGTGTGTGTGTGTGTGTGTGTGCGCGTGTGTGTGTGTGTGTGTGTGAGAGAGAGAGAGAGAGAGAGATAGAGAGAAAAAGAAATCAGGCGCGGCACCACTTTGTCAAAACGCCTCGATCGGTAAGGCACCAAGCTCCTTGCGCACACAGGGAGACTATCACTTTGTGAACGCAAAGGGAACGGGAGCGGCCGCCGCTGCTTTTGGCCTGTTTCGATTTCGACCATGACAGGCTTTGAATTCAAACCACTACTCTACTTGACGTTGGAAATTCACGGGACCGGTGGCACAGGTCCATGAGGGCTACCAGTAGCACAGAGTGGAGAACCAGGAGAGTGGTGAATATGGAAAACGGGATAAATTTGCGCTATAAGCTATTTTGCGGTTGAGACAATTTGTTTAATTTTTGAAAAAGCTTTGAAATAGCGGTACTTTTCTCGTTGGCCCACAAGTTGCCGTGTGCCAAAAATGGAAAAAGTGACGAATTGGCGTGGCATTTATTTCATGGTCTAAACGATTTTATTTTATTTTGTTGATATTTTTCCTGGAAAGATCACGACCTGGCCTACCCGATACCAAATTTTCAGATCTTTTCTCCAATTATTCTGCGTACGAAAAATCGCCAAAGTTGGCGCTCAAAAATTGCAAGATTGGACCCGCCTGCGCCTTCCAGTCGGTGCCCCCCCTAAAAACCCGCCCTAACTCACCACAGGGTCTGCGTCCACACCGTTTCAGATTCGAAATTTCAAGACCCTAATGCCACGGGCAGCTACCGGCCCTGCACTTCCTTGAACTGCCTATTTCCCACGAATTGGACCCCCAGCAAATACACCACCCTTCCAACTACCGCCCCGTTTGGTGACGACAACGAAAAATGTTTAATGTCTCAATGTCTCAAGGGCATAAAACGCACCCCTGACGGGCTGCGAATTTTTCGTCGTCGTTCGTTATACGGTCGTTGGAAGGCTGGAAAAACAAGGCATGACAGTTTAGGGGGTGGTGGCATCTTATTTGAAACTGCAGGACCGCTAGCTGCCCGTGGGACCGCACAGGTTTTGGTCTAGGACCGCGTAGGACCGGTAGCTGTGCTTAGGAGGCCGAGGAGGCCACGGTCCTTTTTCAAAATTGAAACGGTCTCTCTCTCTCTTTCTCTCTCTCTCTCTCTCTCTCTCTCTCTCTCTCTCTCTCTCTCTCTCTCTCTCACACACACACACACACACACACACACAC